ATATATAACATGGTTGTGCTGGAATTCTTCCCCTACAAAAGCAATTGAAGAAGTGCCCACCAGCAAATCCCTGCTCCATGTCAGCTTTACACATCAATCTTAATGAACACTGTCTTCTGCTCTTTGCTTCTAAACCATCCTCACTGCCAAAGAGTCGATGTTCACTCATAGCGACCCTTTAGGGCAGGGTAGAGCTTCCCGTGGGCATTCTGAGACAGTTAGGCTTTAAGGAGTAGAAAGCCCTGTCTTTCCCCATGGAGCGGCTGATGGTTTTGAACGGCTGACCTTGCAATTAGCACACTAACATATAACCACTATGCCACAAAGCTTCTTTCCTGCTGAATAAGGCCTAAAGGGATTCTCTGTTTTTGTTCCGAGATGACTCACTTTATACCCAGTCTAATGGCAAAACTGACCCATCCCCTCATTCCAGTCCCATACACTTTATTTGCATGCCCATCTCATCTTGTTGTGGGGGTTCCCGGGGCTATCGACAGATGAGCCAAACTAAACAATTTCTCTTCACCACACTCCCCATCATATCACTCAATTCAGAGACACTTCCTTCTGAGTAGCATCTCAGTTACACTTGTCTTGGGAATCTGGCTCTAACCCTTACTGTCAGCCTCCAGGGACTTCTGAATCCAGACTTTCGGTTACTGTATGTGTCTTGACAGGAAAAGCTGGCACTGGCTCATGCTCTGGTGGTTCTGGTTGCATTCCCACGATGATGTTTCTTGAGGGCCATGCCCGCCTTTGTTCTGCCCCCTAAGAGCCTGAGCACCCCAAGGTCAGGGACAGGCAAAGCAGCTCCTTAACTGTTGAAACCAAGCTGTCCCTGGACATGGGAACTCCAGGGATGAAGCCAGGCCGTCGTCTCCGGAGCCTCAAACACTTGCTGCAACTTCTGTCGAATGGGACTTTGTCGTGCTGCCAGAAGGATGGTGAACTTTTATGAAAATGACCTTTCCCCGTGTGAAACACGTTCACAGGCAGTGAGAAGAACTATTGCCCTAACTATTGGCGGTGCAAAGGGTGGGCAGACGAACATGTCTCGGCACTCCCAGAGATAGCAAGGGCCATGATTAAAACTTTGAATTAGGAACGCCGAAAAGGCTCAGACAGGGAAATCTTGGAGCAGCCTGCCACCTTCAGGATAACTTCCAAACTGACGCAGCCAAAGAACACAGGTTTTAGGCACACAAAAGACTCACCATTAACTCATCTAGGCAAAAAGTTTCAAGAGAGTCTGTCATCAGAACTGTGTTCTTTGCAGGGCTCTCACTGCGACTAACGGTCACTTTCTTTTTCTGCATGTAGAATCGCCTCTTTCTTTCATTATTTTATTTCAATTCTTTCCTTGATTTTAATGTATTTCAAACCATCTACTTCACTTACTCCACAGAACCCAGGGCACTAAAATAGATCTGGCACCACAGTCTGTGAAAATACTGTGCTCTGGGAAACCTGCTGCTTCCTTGTCAGTTTCTTGGATTCTAGAACACTCACAATATTTCTAAAGAACTCTTAAGTGACAGCAGCACCAACGTCATGACAGAGGAAGTAAAAGAGCCTATTGTGGGTCACAAAACTAGATATATAGCATCATTTAAGAGTGAGTTTGTTCAAAGTCCGAAAGGTAATTCTCTCCTCCCTTGCAGTAAACATTCCTTTTAAGCTTAGTCAGTAAGGATGTCCTGAACCAGAAAGGAGGCTAGCAAAACCATTAAGATATGTAACCAGGCTCGAAGCAGCCTCATTCAGAGGCTTCAGGGGTGGTGGTCTAGAAGGCCAGGCATGGAAGCATCCCCAATTTTGATAAACAATATGCACGAGGCTTCAGGGAATGGTGGTCTGAGGGTCCCTGGAGAACTGTAGGTAGACATAATTTACTAATGGTCATCCTAAAACCTGCCATCCTGAGACCACTGTATCATGTGGTCATTGTGAAAACCTGCTAATCTCTTCCTGTAATCGTTGCTGAAAACCTTCTTTTGTCACATAGTTTAAGATTTATAACTTTCTTGATTTTCACTAGAATTTTGAGACCATTTGGAGGTAGAAACCCCACGGTTTCCTTCTGTTACCACTCGCAGGAATAAACTTAGACTTTATCGAATCAGCCTGGTCTTTGTCTTTGACTTAAACAGTGACGGAACCTCTTGTATGCTGGCAATAGTAGTCCATTGAAAAATGAAGGAAGAGAGGGGTGAGAGTGAGCAAGAGAGAGAGAGAGAAGTGGAGGGAAAAAGAGAATACAACAACACTAATTTTTCTTCTAAACTTTTATTCCCTGTTCCATTCATTAAGTTATATGGAGGTCCCTTTTGGCTTTAAAGAAAGAAACAAAAGGCTAGAGAGTGGCGCAGTAACTACGTGTTTGATAGTAAGTAACAACAAGACAAGTTAGTGGAAAAATAGACGAGAAAGGGAAACACAATGGATATCAACACTGTTAGGTCAGATGAAAAGTTATGAGGGGGATGTAAGTGCTAACTGAAAATGAGGCTGTGTGGCAAGAAATGCAGCAGGCAGGGGGACAGAAAAATAAGGGACCATTTTAAAAAGTCAACGAGAACAAACATTTGTCGAGAAGGCGTATACTTTCACTATTTTCCCCGTCATAAAAGCAATGGGCAGAATGGGCAACATTAGAACTCTCCTTGATTGTGGTGCAGCGCTCAAAGACCCCACACGCACGCCCAACCCCTGGGATGCATTGCAGCTCAATCGTGCAACTGCCCCCGAGGGTTCCAAGGACGGACTCTTTAGCAAGTCCAACTGCACGTCTTTCTCCCAAAAGCTGGTGGGTTTGACTGGCCCTCCTTTTAGTTAGCAGCCAAGCATTTCAATCACTGCAGGATTGTGGTATAATCCTTGGTATAATCGCTGTCATTGGCTCCTAGGGACCTTCTGTCCAACAGAAGAAAGCACTGCTGAATCCAACGCTGCCCTCACAAGGGTTGCCATGTTTGAGCTCATTGCTACAGCCCCTGTGGCCGTCCATCCCCTGGAGGGAGGGTTTTCCTCTTTCGATATCCTTCTCCGGGGACAAGTCTCGCCATCATCACTTCTGGCTGCCCTCTTCCAAAGCAGATGCAGTTCTTCTGGCAGTCCACAGTATCCTCAATGTTCTTTGCCACGGCCGTGGTTCAAAGGCATCGATTCTTCAGTTTTCCTCCGCCATCGTCTAGCTTTCACATGCCCCTGAAGCTGCTGAGAATATCCAAACTTGAATGAGACTCCCCTTGTCCTCAAAGCAGGAGCCCTGGGGCGGTGGTGACTATGCTCTGGACTGCCAGCCACATGGTGAGCCCTTCCTCCAGCCACACCACAGGAGAAAGATGTGGCTCTCTTTTTGCTCTCAGAAATCCAGAGGCAGTTCTGTTTTGTCCCATATGGTCACAATGAGGTGTAATGCACTGATGGCTGTGAGGTTGTCCTCAAAGTAGCCTTTTTAACACTTCACAGAGATCTTTTGCAAAAGATTTGCACAAGGCAAGTTGTCTGATGTCTTGACTGCCACTTGCATTGGTGTTGTGAATGCAATCAAATTAAATCTTTGATAACAAAATATTTTCCTTTATCGTGATGCGGATTTTTGGTTGTCAGATTAGGGTTATTTTTTGGTATGTTGTGATGTAATCCATACGGAAGGCTGTAGTGTGTGAGCTTCATCCGTCAGGGCATTAAGTCCTCTTTGCTTGCAAAAGTGGAGCCCTGGTAATGTAGGGGTTACAGCGTGGGCTTCCATCCGCCTGGTCAGCAAGTGGAAACCAGCAGCAGTTGTGCAGAGACAGATTGGGCTTTCTACTCCCCTAAGCAGTTAGTTTCGGAAACCCACAGGGATCACTCTGAGTCAGCATTGACTCCATGGCAATGGATTAGTTGGCTTGCTTTCCAGAAAGCACGGTGTGTCATCTGCATTCCCCCTATTGTTAATGTCTTCCTCCAATCCTGATGTTGTGCTTGTCATATAGACCAGCTTCTCAAATGACCTGCTCAGCATACAGGCTGAATAAGTATAGTATTGTATCCTTACAATCCCAGCACACACGTTTCCTCATTGTTTTGTTCAAATGACTGTCTCTTGGTTTATGCAGAGCCTTTTTTATGCCAAGGGCCATTTGGATGTTTGTAACATCATTCACAAGCCATGCAAAGTTATCAACTTCAAAATTAGCCTCCTATATTTGGTCAAACATTAACTCATCCCTAATGTAATGGCTGGAACAGCTTCTCTTAGGTGAGGTGTGTGGTATTAGCTGGTATTGGGAATTTTGCAACATAAGGCCAAGGGTTGGACATTCCCTGCTTGTGATAGGTTCCACATACACACAATTAAGTGTTCTGGAATCCTCAATGTTTGCAACGTTGTCCATAATTTGTTGTGATCCACATAGCCAAATAAATACCTTTGTATAATCAATAAAAGAGATAAACATCTTTTTGGATTAATATGTAATTAGTTCTCTTTTTTATTGGCCTCGTGTCGTGGTGACATTGACCTGTGAAACAACTTCAAGGCCTGCTTCCCTAAACTCAAAAACAAACTCACTACCTTCGAGTCACAGGGTAGAAGTGCCTCTGTGGGTTTCTGAGTAGAAAGCCTTGTCTTTCTCCCATCAGTATTTCAATAAGGCTTTCATTTTCAACTTAGATTGCAGTTTGGAATCACGAGGGGAGCTTTTAAAGATTGCTCATGCTTCACTCTGCCGATAAGTCAGAAAACCTCAGGTGGGGCTGGAAATGGAATTGGTTTAAGGGTCCCAGGTGATTCCAGGAAGCCTTAGGAGATGCGATTGCGCGCGCCTGCACCTGGGAAGCAGTCCCTGGTGGGAGGAAGCCAAAGGCGCTACTTCTGGTTCTGGAATAGACATGTGGCCTCCCAACCACCAGAGGGCAACAGACACGCATTGAGCGCGCCCTCCGAGCGCGCTACCCCGCCAGCCCCGGCCGGCGCATGCTCCGTGCGCCCCGGGGCCTGCCGGCAGGACGCCGGCGTTTCCCCACGTGCCGCGAGAGCCTGAGGACAGCATGCTCGGCGGACATGGGGGGCTCTGTGACTCGCGCCATCAGGAACTTCAATTTAGAGAACCGAGCGGAACGGGAAATCAGCAAACTGAAACCCTCCCTCGCTCCCAAGCATCCCTCCACCAAGAACCTGTTTCGAGAGGGGATGAGCCGTGAGTGGCGCGAGGGCGGGCGGGGCGGTTCCGCGCGTGGGCCCGGCCGGTGACCACTGGACCCTGGGGGGCCGCCGCCACCCGGCTCGGTCGCCGGGCCGGAGAGGCGCGGGCTCGGTCGCTGGGCCGGAGGGGCGCGGGCTCGGCGCAGCCATCCATGGCCGCTGACTTTGAGGTTGTGCCCTTGGCGCCCGCGCCGGCGGCGTGCCTTCTCCCAGCCTGGTAGAGCGCCGTGGTCGGCGTTTCTCCTTAATGTTCCGTGAAGTGTAGTGGAGCCTCTAGCACCCGTGGCGTCGTGGTGACGCGTTGGGCTGCGAACGGCAAGGTCAGCAGTTCAAAACCAGCCGCCCCTCGGGAGGGAGATGAGGCTTTCTACTCGCGTGAAGAGTCTCGGAAACCCGCAGGGACAGTCTAGTCTGGCTCCGCCCCGTGAGATCGCTGCGTCGGAATCGGCTCGGTGGGGATGAGTGAGTTAGAGAGCAGGGAATCAGACGAGATCGTGTGCGTTTGAAGGGAATGACTGTTGCCCCTGCTGTCGTCATTTTCCCCAGAGGCCTTCACTGAAGGGAAGAGGCTGAGCCTGACCTACTACTCTGATTTACCCGTAAAATCCGTACCTTATAAGCAATTTACGTTTATGTTTTAAAAGAACTTAAAAATGGATGCTTTGTGTTGTGTTTAGGATCTTAAAGGAACTTTGAAGATACTTTATTTAATGTGCTTTTGCCTCCTCCTTAGGCCATTCAGAAATTAAGGGAGAGATTGCCAGAAAAGACGACAAGCTTCTTTCATTATTAAAAAATGTTTATGTTGATTCCAAAGATCCTGTGTCTTCTATTGAGGTAATGTATGTTTTAATTAAGTAAATAAGCACCTGAACCTTTATGGGTTCTCTGTAGGAAAATGATTCATTGCTTGATCTCTGCCCTCTGGAAATGCTGTCTGTGATGAAGAGACCTGTGACAAGTGCGAACCGGACGGTGGACGGTGAGCGCTCCCGGGTGGGAACATGCCAGCTTGATTTTGATGAGAGAACTACCTTGGCACAGGGCCTTGGCTCAATGGATATTTTCAGAATTTTTCAAAGACTTGTAAAAGTGTTGATTGAATCCTGTATCAACTTCAGGTTTTGTGTGATTTGTTAAGGCAATTCCAGTGTTTTCATTTGAGTGAGCAAAAGAATACTTTAATATTCTTAACTTGTTGATGGAAGTGAAGCTACTCCATTAGTATTTTTTTTTGAGGACATAATCCAGATAAAATATATAAACTTAGAATCTATTGGGAATGGGATCTGTATTTAAGTCCTGAGCAGAATGGCATGAACACAGCAGACCTCATCCTTGCTCTCATAGTGCTTACAGTGTTATGAGAAGCACAGACATTAAACAGATGAGTAGTTGTTAAGTATGTAATTCATGATGCATCTGTGAAGATGAATAGGCATTTGTAAAGGCTATACATTTTTACAGGAGCAAACGGCTTCATCTCCCCACCCCCTGCCCTGAGAGTTTGCCAGAGAGGCCTCGATTGCATTGGCTGATCGGGATGGTTTCTGAAAAAGCGGCATGTAAATGTGGACCCAGAGGAAGAGATGGGATGAAACAGATGAGCGTGTGGGCAGGAGGGAAGCGCCAACTTTGACTCCTCGGCTGTAATTTTTTATTCTGAAGTTCTCTGGTTCTTTCTCTAGATAAACAGTAGAGAGATTTTGTACAGACATGGTTAATAATGTAATGTTAACTGAAGAGGAGAAGAAAACATGCAAGTAAATAAAGTTTATTAGTTGTGCCTAGCAGCAGTGATAGATTTTATTCATCACATGCACACATCTCTGTCGTGGTTTTTTTTATAGACTGGTGTTGCACTCATAGGTCAAGTGTTTTCATGTTGTACTAAATTATTAACTTCTTTATGTTTAAGACACTGATACACAGTATAATACATAAAGAGGTACATAGTATTATTATTACAAGGGCAGTGAGTAGGAAACTCATTGAAGGGAGAGATAGTTTTTAACAGATTGACTTCACGGATTAGATTCTTTATGTATGTTTAATTGGAGCCATTAAGAATTTTGACAATTTGTAATGCCTCTAGACAGTAATGGCATTGTGCCTGTCATAAGTAACTTTGTTGTTGATTAGCTTTTTTTTACATTTTTAAATTGGCTATTCACAATTCTCAGATATATTGACTTTTTTCCTCTTTAAGGCAGGCTAGACTGATTGCAAGGTTGGAGGTTCTAACCCACCAGTCACTATGAGAGAAAGATGAGACTATCTTCTTTTATAAAGACTTATAGTCTCAGAAACCCTTTGTAGGATCTCTGAGTTGGAATTGACTCAAATGGAAAGGGTTTGGTTTGGTTTTATCAAGTAGATAAAATATGGGCCCACTGTGTATCTAACTGGGTTCTCTAGAGAAGCAAAATTACTATCATATAAAGAGAGGAATTTGTATAAAGAAAATGGCTCACGTAGCATGTTTCCAAGTCCTCGCAGGCTGTTGGCTGCAGATTGGATGAAACCAAAGTCATCGTGCCAGGCTTGTGACTGGAGATGAATGGCTGGCAGGTTAGGTCGCAGGCCTCTAATGACTTCTGGGATCAGCAGGCAATATGGCAGGCTATTGATTCAAATGCAAAGAACCAGAGTCGATGAGCCAGTTTAGACCTAGCAAAAAACAAGCAAGCAAGCTTTGTGCAGTGTCTGCTAATACAGGAAGTAGGCCACACCCAGACGAAACATCCAAGCACTTGCATAGGGGCTGGGGCATGAGTAAGAAGATTTCACGCCACCTTATTCTTACAGCTGCATGGGGCTACGCACAACAGATCCCAATATGGACTTGATTGTGTTAGTTTCCGTGAGGGTCTGGCGCTGTGGTTTGATGTAAAACTGAAAAAACAAAATCTTACTGCTGTAGAGGTGATACCAACTCACAGACGTTATAGAACAGGGTAGAACCACCCTTGTGGGTTTCTGAGACTCTTAACTCCTTATGGTAGTAGAAAGCCTCATCTTTTTCCGGTAGAGTGGTTGGTAGTTTCAAACTGCTGACCTTGTTAGCTGCTCATTGTGTAGCCACAGATCCGTGCTTAGGAGCATGTGGGAGAGGTGTGGTATCAGGAGCTTTCATAGCGCAGTGGTTATGCCTTGAGTTACTAACCATAAGGTCAGTAGTTCAAAACCACTAGTCACTCCATGGGAGAAATGGGGCTATTTCAGTAGTTAGAGTCTTGGAACCTCACAAGAGTAATTCTGTCCCATACTGCAGGGTCAGTATGCATCAGAATCACTCAATAGCAGTGAGTTTGACTTCTTGTTTGTTTGAGAGGGGGTGGTAGGATCAGATCCCAGAGGTCCTTATTTGCCTTGTTAAAGAATTTGGATTTTTACCTGAGGAAAATGGAAGTCGTTGAAGAATTTAGTGCTAAACAGTGGCATTGCATTTGCTTCATAATGGACGGTTTGGAGAGTAGGCTGGAAGGGAACAAAGTAGATTTTATCCAGTCATGGAAGACCAGTGGAAAGGAGGCTTTTGCAATCATTTCTCTAAGAGATGTGGCTGAGGCTAAAGTGACGAGCAGTGAATGGCTTGAGATAAACGTAACTGACAGAAGTAACAGGATTTGGTCGTGAAATAGAAAATAAGAGGATAGTGTCCGAAGCGCCCTAGTTTGGGGCAAGGAAGAGAAACATGGTCAGTCACTGGTTGGGAATACAGGAGTGGGTGGAACTGGATTTCCAAAGGAAAGGGACACATTCCATTTTAGCACTATGGGGTAGGTGTTGGGCTGACTGCAAAATCATCGGATCAAACCCACCAGTTGCTCTGTGGGAGAAAGCTGAAGCTGTCTGCTCCTTCAAAGATTGACAGTCCTGGACACCTTTTATAAAGGGCTCTTCTGAAGTGGAATTGGCTCAGTAGTGGTGGACTTGGTTGTTTGTCTAATTGTCGATTCTGAAGTCACACAAGGAGACATCAGAACGATCTTGGGGAAATGGAATTAAAAGGAAAAAAATAAAACTTTACTCTCAACTTAAGCTGTATTAACTTCTAGACACTGACCCCTAAAAAACTGAGGACCCTAGGCATTGAACCATGTAATCAGACCTTTTAAGCTTAATGACTGGAGGAAAATGGTGCCCTCTAAGGATTTAAAAAAATATTGGGAAAGAAAAAGAAGTGGAAACAAACCAAATCTGAACTGTCAGGTGAATCCCTAATGATTTCCCATTGAAACTTACAAAACTGCCCTTGTTTGATGGGAAAACTAAGCAGGAATATTGTCCTAGAGGAAGACTCTGATAGGACTTTCCTTGACTTTTTTCCTTTTTATGCAAAAGCTTTGGCTAACTTTCAACACACACACTCCTGATAGGCAGATGCTACCATTCTTTGGCCCTCTAGGAATGCCTTGAGCATCCCAAAATACCGTTCCCATGAGCTCTGCTCCTCACCGGCTCTCTCATTTTGAACCACTTCTGCCGTTTAGTAGCCATTGTTTTGTCTTCAGGAAGTAGCAGTAAAACGACGACGTTTCATATGTTACAGTTCTTCCAAGAAGTGCTTTAGGATCATGATCCCACTTGTTTAAAATTCCTTAGAAAGTTCTGTTCTTGTCAGCATCTGCTCTGGGTGCAGCAGTTCAGGCAGCCATTGGGGTAGGATGTTTGTTCAACTTTGATTTTTTTTGGTCAAAATGTGTGAACTGAACCAATTTTGTAGTGTATGGCATGGCTATTTTTCTACTGCTAATCGTAGGCCGTGACCAAGACTAACTGTTTCCTCTACAGTTCATGTGGGCGGTTCGCTGCTGTGGGCTTCATCTTCAGGGTTTCTCATGACTACGTCAAATGAATGGTTCGTTTGTAGACACTGCTGGTTTACGTGGGCTTTGTTCCCGCAACCTCTTTGTAGAGCAACAGGTGTTTCACAATTCTTCCCAAGTTTCTCCCTGGATTTGATGAGAATTCTTACTTCAATTTTAACCGAACTCTTGTTTCAAATTGATACCTTATCTTTCTTAGTGCCTCCTGTGAGATCCCCTCCAGACATATTATCACAATGTAGTCCAAGTTTATTTTGGTGCCAGAAAAAAATTTTTTAATTTATGCCTAGTTTTTTCACAATACTTTTTTTCATGAACTTTTTTGAAGACCCCACATACATGGGAGATGCCCATTAGGCAATGGGGATTAAGGTCTGGAGAAAGATGTTGGTCTGAGATCACATATTTGAAAGTGATGAACATAAGATTGTGCTCTAAGCTAAGGGAGCGTGAGAGGCCAAGCCAGAGGAACACATCATTTGTGGAGCAGCAGCAGAGAAGGGTCCTCAAAGAAAACCAGAAAGGAGCCAGCGGAGGGCAGACGGGACTCAGAAGAGGACGGGCACAGACATGGAGAGGAAGATGGTCACAGGTCTATAGGAGTGATGCTAGATGCTGTAATGGTGATGTGCTAGATGCCGTCAGGTCAGGGCGGCCCAGTGTGCAACAACACAACGTTGCCTGGACCTGCACCATCCTCACAGTTGTGTTTTGCTTGAGCCAGTTCTAGTGAGTTCAAGAAATGCCCTTTGGGTTTAACTACTAGAAGATCATTAGAGATGGCAAAGATTTCATTATCTCTGAAATCACAACTAAAATGAAAATAGCCCTAACAGTGTTTGGGGGTTTTGAAAATATATTTTAATGGTTGCAGCTACAGCATTTTACTATTTTGAGCTGAAAGCAGCAACAGACAAGATACAGTTGGAAATGAAAAAGAATGATTGGCATCGCGAGATAACAGGATGGAACACAGATGCAGGGGGCCAGTGAGGATGGGTAGGCACCCATTGTTTACACTACTACTTCTGTGTGTGGCATTGGGGCTGTTTATTTCCTGTGAAGAAGGAGTCGTGTCCATCACAATTATTTAAATTAGTTCAAGAATTTTAGGGGACACTCAACAAAAAGTTATTGATATAACTGTTAGGGCAGAATCAGAATCCTGTGCTTTTAAAGCAGATGTAATTTTTAGATCTAATTCTCTTCCTTTCTTGTTCTTCTAATACACACGAATAGTCTGGTCATCGAATGGCACATGATCAAATATTGTTTTCTAGAACTAACTAAATTTATTAATGATGGTTTAAGGGTAGAGGAATCTATGGCACGGGTTTCTTCGAAATAGGACTCATCATGATGAGAAAATAAGGTTAAAGGAGGTATGTATATATAATATGTACGTATATATAAAATAAAGTATAGATAATTATTTCAAGAGTGGTAATAGAGGTATTAGAAGTAGGGTTTGTTTCTCATCTTTTTTTCTTTGCTTACTAGGTGAAAGATGATAGAACGCATCAAGAACCCAAGGAGTTCCGAATGCCAAAAGGTCCTCATCCCTTTGATACCTTGGATCTTGTGAACATTCCCAAGGGCAAAGTGTCCATTGTGGAGGCACTGACACTTCTCAACAACCATAAACTCCATCCAGACACGTGGACTGCTGAGAAAATAGCACAAGAATACCACCTAGACCTGAAAGATGTAATTTCACTTCTCAGATACTTTGTTACTTTTGAAGTGAAAGTCTTTCATCCTGAAGACAGGAAGGCCTTACCCCCAGAATGAAGAAAATCATGAAGTTACTCTTCCTGTCTACCCTCCATCCCCTTTCCTACTTATTTCTACATTTTTAGCATATTAATTTATATGAAAGGCTGAACATTTAAAACTCCAGATAACGCACTGTTTATTCTTTTCTGCTGACCTCTTAAGATTTCTGGGAGAATGTGTTTTTTGTTCTTTTGACTTTAATGTGATTTAAGTATATGATTGTATGTGTCAGCATGACAAATCAATGTAATATCCGTAAATTATAAGAAATGTGTTATTTTAGGCACATAGCAGCTTTTAATTTGGTCATTGTCCCTTGTGGGTGTCGTGAATCCCTCACCATCTCACTTTAGTTTAGGTGGCTAGTAAAAGCAGAGGAACTTGACTGTTAAGTCCGTTCTTTTTTTAATCATTTTGTTGGGTGCTCTTACATCTCTTATAACAATGCAATACATCCATTGTGTTAAGCAGGACCTTTCTAGAGAGAAGTACATCTAACTGTAAGGTAGAATAATAGTACTTTCTAAATTAAGGCAGTTGGGATAACAATGGAAAAAGTTTTGATAACTACTTCAAAAATACATAGAAGGTTTCTTTGGGATTAGCTTTAAGCATGGATTAACAATCTTCAAAATTAGAAGAAATAAAATGAAAAGCAAAAATTTATATGTTGGTCCTTGAGTGGTGCTTGGCTACTTACTACTCGGAAGGTTGGCAGTGTGCATCTAACTGCAACTCCGTAGAAGAAGGCTTGATCTTCTACAGCCAGATGAGCTTTTGGAGATCTTAGCTAGCAGAGGTCTGCGCTGACACAAGGGCTGTGGTGCATTGGAATCTACAGTGAGTGGTAGTGTGGGCTGACTAGAGAATGAAATTCATAGACACTTGCATATAAGAAAGAGCTTTGCATTAAGAGTAATTGTATTTTAAGAAAACAGCCCAGCCCAGATCAAGTCCGTAAGTCTGTATTAGCCCATATGTTTGATACCAGTCTAGATTCCTCTTCAGACTCATGTAACACAATGATGCAGAAGGCAGGAAGATCACGGGCCAGTGGGTGGAAAGTCTTATGGATCCAGTGGCAGTGGAAGCTTCTCCACGCTGGTGTGGGTCTCCATGTGGCTCCTCCAGCTCCAGGGCTCTGGCTCCATCAGTGTAGCCCCATGTGGCTTGTCATCAGGAATGTCTTCCAGGGAGAGTGTGTATTTAGCCTCCAGTGCACTATTTATCTCCATTGAGCTTCCAAATGAGGTCATCAAGCTGTGACCTGATTGACATATTAGACCCCACCCCTTTGCAAGTTGACAGGAAATTATGTAACTGCCACATGAGTTAGAACTTAGTCACTACTGTAACACATGAATCCTGGAGGCCAAGTGATGAATTGGCAGCTAACATAAAGGTTGGCAGTTCGAGCCTACCAGCCACTTTGTCAAAGAAAGATGTGGCAACTTGCTTCCATAGTGAATACAGCTTTGGAAAGCCCATGGGTAACTTCTCTGTCTTATAGAGACACTGTGAGTTGGAATTGACTCAGGAACAGTAAGTTTGGGATTTGGGCTTTGACAAAAGAAATGAGTAAGTCTGGGAACTGTCTGTAAAATTGTTTAATGACAAATAGAAAATTATATAAAGAGGTTCAAAAGAAGCATGGTAAAAGAATTGTTGAAATGCATGTGTAGTTTCGATGCTAACTAGGAAGAGTAAAAGCATAAGATGTGATCATTTGAAGGTACCTGGGAAGGAAGGTGCTGGTCCACCCATTGAACAAACGAGCAATTCTAGACTGTACCAGGATCTCGATCTTAGCAATATTGTGCTGTAGCTCTGCTACACTACATATAGTAACCTCCTCAAGATTTAATTTCCTCTCTCAGATGGAATCCCCTAAATCTAAAGGTTACTGCAAAGATATTAAAGAGACTTTTTGGACTAAATGGGAGCTATTTATTGCAGTTGACGAAAAGGACCTGAGACAAGATAGCAGACCTAATTAAGATTATTCTTAGTTTATAGCATAGCTAGGCTCGGAATGTATGTTCTTCAAATGTTGTGTACTATTCATTTCTGCTGACTTCTTAAGATTTCTGGAAGAATGGATTTTTGTGTTTTTTTTAAACTTTGATTTAAGTATATGATTGTGTATGTCAGCATGGCAACCAGTGTAATACCCATAAATTGTAAGAAATGTGTTATTTTAAACATACATGTTGATTCTGTCTCAATGACCCCATAGGACAGGGTAGAACTGCCCTTGTGGATTTCTGATTCTAACTCTTCAGGAGTAGAAAACCTCACCTTTCTCCCTGGAGCAGATGGTAGATTAGAACTGCAGACCTTATGGGCATGGAGATGGTGCAGGAGTGGACAACATTTTTTTTTTAATAAGACTATGTTTTATTGGCATATGAGTCACATAGCACACGATGCAGCCTTTTATCCCATTGTGTATGGGGCCAGCTAACACTGCACCGCATAGGCTTGGGAAACATGATGGTTCCGTATCCTGATCATGGGGTGTTTTCCTATTGTACCTGAAAGAAACATCACAAAAGTACCAGAGGTGAGTAGAAGAAATGTTGGGGTATGTAAAATTTTAGGTTGTTAATGTCTCAGTAGAAATCCTGGCCTTGTTGGTTTATCTCAGTGAGTTGGAATTGGCCCCATGGCTGCTGTTTGTTCGGGTTATACCTGGATGTAATCCCATGTGAGAATAGGGCTGCTGTGTTGTGTTAAAAATGCCAGGGTAAAGTGTTCCAAGCCCATCACTTGAGGGACTGTGCAGGTTAGGCAATTGAGCAAACTCCATTGGTGGAAAAGATGGATGCCAAATGGACGTTGCCAAGGAATACAGAGAAGAAAGCTAGAGAAGCTGAATCAAGGATTTTCCCCCAGTGGAACGAGAACGCCGTCAGCACGCACCTGATTCCAGACTTCTAGCCCTGTATGAACAGAAATGCTGTCAAGACTATCCAATTACATTTATGTTACAAGAAACTAAAGCATGTTTTCAAGTACAGTTTATGTGAATAGATCATGTCTAGTTTATATTTGGTGTGAACAGCAGTAAAGCAATGTAAAATAGCATTTCAAATTCATGTAAATGTTTTTATCAGGTAAAAGTATTTGGAAGCGTTGGGCTGTTAGCCACAGCGTCAGCAGTTCTAATCTACCACTCTCTCCAAGGGAGAAAGGTGAGGCTTTCTGCTCCTGAAAAGGAACCCAAAGGGGCATTTATCTGTCCTGGAGGGCTGCCATGGGTTGAAGTTGACTGGATGGCAAGGAGTGTTTGGTGAGCACTACCATTTCTGCACCATCACACCTGTTTGGTTGGCAAGGTGCAGTGTGTTAGTTGCCTGTGCCATCCCCATCGTGAGATACAGATCGGACCCTCGTGATTTATATGGTTTTCATTGGCCAAATTTCAGCAATTGATTGCCAGGCCTGCTTTCTCTGCCTTGAGGCACTGCTGAAATCCCTTCAACGTGGCAGCATGCAGCCCTCTACTGACAGGCTTGGTGGCTGTGCCGGAGGTGCATTGACAGGTAAGCACACCCGGTCTCGCACATGGAAGTGGAGAATTCCATTGAACTCTGGATGCCTCCCTACATGCTGTAGCTCAGACTCACTGCCATTGAGTTGCTTCCGGCTCATAGAGACCCTGAAAGACAGTGGAACTGCCCCTGCGGGTTTTTCAGAAACTTTTTATGGATACCTCTTCTTTCTCCGGCAGAGCAGCTGGTGGTTTCAAACTCTTGACCTTGTGGTTAGCAGCCAAGTGCACAACCACTACACCACCAGGACTATTATCAGCTGTTCAAAATCACCAGACCCTTGGCAGGAGAGAGATGTCGCTGAAACCCAAAAGCAGCAGCTCTACCCTGTCCTGAAGGGTCGCCATGAGTCACTATTGACCATGGCAGTAAGTGTGGTAAGTGGAGGAGCAGACAGTAGGTTGCCCTCGGAACCTTGAGCTCCACTGTGTTGCCTGGCCACAGGATTATGAGTCATGAATTGTCCTGCAAGATGGCTTGGGTCATAGGAGAATTCCTGTGTAGCTCTGGAAATGTAGACTCAGGCCCTCTGCCATGGCGCACTCTGGTTAAAGTTGGGAGACTCTTATGCACCTGTAATAGATACTGGCTGATACTCACTGTAATAGCCATGGCAAGTGTACAGGTTCTGTGAGTGCACTGAAGGAGCTCACTGCATCTTTGATGATTCGTTACTGACCAGAACACTTCAACCTCAGGACCTTTTCCCATAGACAGTGCTGGGCTTGCCTATGTATCTACCTTACCACTAGAGGGCGAAGTACAACAGGATAATTTCTTAGGTTGTATTTCAATGATAGGAATGCATTTGGTTCTTTGGGGGTACTAGAAAAATACATATTTTTCTATACTAGCAGCCCGAGTAAAATCTGGAGCTGTGGGGTATTCATCTGCTCACAGAAAGCAGAGAGAAGGTCTATAAAATTGGGTAGAAATGGTGCCAGACCAGCTTTTAAGTTCCAGTTTGTGGCCTCTTTTCAGCCCACCTTCATTTTAGTGAGATCTCATAACTGAAACAGCGCTGGCTAATCCACAGGGACTTCCAGCTCTATTTACTGGAGCCCCTCTGAGACTGCTTCCCCAGGGGGAGTGGAGATTGAGAAAGCAAGACTAGGTGGGTTTTGCCATTCACCCACATTCGTGTGTAAGAACAAAAGGTAAAAGATCTTAAACAATATGAACAATGAGTATCAGTCCTATTTACTGAAAGTGGCATCAATAAGACAAAGGAAGAATAATAATTCTATTAGACAAATGTTCTAAATATGGTTCCTTATAATGTGGCAGGGGAAGAGTAGATGGCGATATGGGTTAAACAAGCTATAGAAAAATAAGGACTGGGAGAAAAATCTGTGAAGATAGTAACTGAAGATAGTAATTAATGACTTCGTGGGAATATGGGAGGGAGGAGCGGTCAGGGAAATGGGAGCTACGACCGTGTTTCCCCGAAAGTAAGACATCCCCCGAAAATAAGACCTAATTACAGTTTTGCCTCTCGCTGAAATATAAGGCATCCCCCCAAAAATAAGACCTCCCGATAATAAGGCCCCCGAAGCTACTGTAACTCTGGATTCTGGACCGTAGCAGCAGGTGCCGCCGCGCAGCTCACTGTTGGCCGTGGCGCAGCCGTAGCAGACAGGAGGTGCAAGCAAATGTGCCATAGATTGTTGTACATGGAGATAATGGTAGTAACAAGAAATTCTTGATACTGTAGGATTCAGATTGTCTGGTTCTGCTGGTTTGTGATGGCAACTACTACTGTACCGTATACAGGTAATAAATTTCCTTTTTTGCTAAACAATAAATGTGTACTGTATTCTTCATGGAAAAATAAGATATCCCCTGAAAATAAGACCTAGCACATCTTTGGGAACAAAAATTAATATAAGACACTGTCTTATTTTCGGGGAAACAGGGTAGCAGTGAGTACACGAAGGAAGAAAATGTTCTGGAACTGATTGTGGTAATTGTACAATTTTGTTACAACAACTATTGAAGTGCATGATATGTCAGTAAAACTTTTTTAAAAGGAAAACGAAAAATAATGTTGACACTTGGTACGGGGAGACACCATGAAAGAGAGATTATCTCAGTCTTCGTAGATAAAAGCAC